ATAATTAATGTTAAATAAGTATTTAAATTTTTAATAAAAATAAAGATTTTTATTAAAGTAAATAAATGCCTAATGAAATTAAAGAATACCGAATCAAGTAGATCACATAATTAAGAATCACTTGTTCAAAGCATATAGAAATATATATAAATACATCAAAATCGTAAGAGTAACTCTACATGCTCCTTATTAATTTGTTTGTTCAATAATCTAGCAAAGTCACCGAACATCCAGTTAATAAATCAATATTATAGATCCTTTAATATAATAATAAAATGATTCATAAGTTATAACTATTGGAAATAATTTTTTCTATATTGTGCTTTATTTCCGCTAAATACCACTAAGTTTTATTGACGTACAGTGAACATATTTAGCTTTATCTATATTGTTTATATTGGTTAATACATTGATCTATAAACAATATTATTGACCTTTTTTGTATAATATTTAGACGAACAAATAGAATAAGAACATTTTATTTTGTGCATGCTAATTCTCAAGGACAATTTGCTATCATAAATGTTTGCTCTAAAATAGTTATTCAAAAAGTATGAAAACAAAAAATATATGTATATACAACCTTGCACATAAAGTGAGCGTACTTAAAAAAAAATAAACAAATAATAATATTTTTTTTTTGTGGGTATTAACAATTAAAAAAAAATAAAATCTTAAAAAAAAAAAATTAGTTTTTCTTTTTTTTTCTTGGAGGGTAATGTGCATACTATTATAGAATGTATATTTTCATTTTAAGCTAAAATGTAATTTTAAGGAAATTACACTTTAGAGTGTTGCTTATATTAAAAAAAAATTATTAACTAATATGTTATATTTAATAATCATTAATAAAAATAAAAATTTTATATTAAAATTCTCCATTAATATTTACAAAGATGTCTTATAAAATTTAACCTATTGAGAAAAAAGTTATATTAGGAAGGAACAATTGTTGAATTCATTTATACCATATAGATAAGTTAACTAAATTATTTGGTAAGTAAAATGAAAAATAAAAAATTGTGGTATAAATATATAGAACTAAAAATAAAAATAAAAATAAAATAAACACATCGTAATAGGAATCAACACTTGTCAAATAAATATATAAAGGCAAAAAAAAAAAAAAAATAAAATAATTTTTTTTTATATTCAAATAGAAGATTATAATAATATATATGCAAAATGTTATTTTATAATTCTTTTTTATCATTATTTATTGATATTTTTTATATCACAATAAAAATGCATTCTTTTGAATATTATAAGAAAAAATCTATTATATCTAACTAAAGATATATTTTTATATTCAGTATATAACATTTATATTAAATTTGAAACTGATAAGTATTTTTCATAAAAAAGTAAATTTATAAAAATATATTTTTATAATAAAATAAGTAAATTTATCAAAAAATAAAACTTTTTTTAAGAAATATTTTTTTCTGTAAATATATGATTAAAAAATAGTATTTTTTTTTTTTTTTTTTTTTTAATTGTAATTAATTTATTTGACTTTTAATTGTGCTTTTTATAAGATTTGTTATAATTTCTTTAAACTAAATACTTATCTTCACTTTTTCTTTTGAATTTAAGTGCGTAATAAATTTTTTTTATTTTTTTTCAAATAGTTGGAAAAGTAATTTTTTTAAATAATAGTTATAACAAAAAATAAAAATATACATATATTGTATAAACTTTTATCCATAATAAAAATAAAAAAAAAGAATTAAGATAAAAAAAAGTATATTAGAAAAATTAAGAAAGTTATAATTAAAAGAAAAATAAGCACAAACATAAATTATATTTATGTAAGTGAAAAATTGTGACAAATGTAGTATACTGTATGAAAAATACATGCGTATAAAAATTTTTAATTTAATGAGTTTTTTTTTCATTTTTTTATGGAGATATATCTCTATTATATACGATGATTTATATTTATAAATCATAATATACCGAATATAAAATAATTTAAAGTTCGTCATAATTCACAGAGATTGGTAGTTTAGAAAAAAAAAAATAAAAAAATCCTTTAACATTAAATGTATATTATTTATAATTTTTATGTGCATTAAATTTAAAATATTTAATATTTTTACATAATTTAAAGATAAATAAAATTTTAATAAAATATTTTTTAAATAATTTTATTCGATTTATTATATATTTCATTTATTTGTAAATTAACATTCTTATTTTATCTTCTAATTAATTAAGAATATTATTCCTATTTAAAGTAACCATAATTTCATATGTAATAATAAATAATTAGAAATTACAATTCATATATGAAAAATTTTCTATTTGAAAAATTTATGAAATTAATATAAGTTATAAAAATATCTAAATTTATATTACAAATCCATAATTTAGTATTATTGAAAATTGAAACAATTTTACACCTGAATTTACAACTTCCACTTCAATATTATTCTATAATTATATTAATATGAAAACATTAACCTTATTTTTAAGAATTACTACATTCCATCTTTTAATTTGGATGTATCAATGTTTTTATAACGTAAGACAAAATTTTTACAAAAAAGATACATATAGATATATTTTATTTCTGATTCTTTTTAACATTCCATTTGATTTACTATTCTAACAAAGAAAACATTGTTTTAAAAAATTTTTATTTAATCCATAGTGTTATTCTTATAAAACATGGATTGATGAAAATATATTGCAAACAAAAAATGAGTTAAAATATGAAAGAATATTAACAGAGGGTAACACAGAAGAAAAAAAGCAAACTAACGCTGAAGGGTGCCTAAAAGAACGTCCATTAGATAATGAAAAAAACAAAAGGGAAAATCCGGTTCAAAACGAGAATCCGTGCGATCGATGGCAGAGAAAAACTAATCCGTTATTGAGGAAAATATTTGATAAAGATACCAGTAAAATGGACCCTAAATGGAGAGAACAAAAATGGAATAATGAATGGAATAAAATTTCAGCTAACAAGCTTAATGAACTATCTTCAATATTTCATCGAAGTGATATATCAGAAGAAGAAAAAAAAAAATTAATTCGTAATGTTAAGGATGAACTCGACACAGAATTTGCGAAATTTTTAGTTGAATGTAAGAAAGAGATGAGTGACAATAAAGCAGAATCCAAATCTAAGAAAGAGATGATAGACAATAAAACAGAATCTGAATCTAGGATAGAGATGACAGACAATATAACTGAATCAGAATCTATTAAAGGGATGATACAAAATAAAACAGAATCTGAATATAATATAGAGATTACAGACAATAAATCAAAATCCGCATCTATGAAAGAGATGACAGACAATAAAACTGAATCCGAATCTATGAAAATGATGATAGACAATAAAACAGAATCTGAATCTAAGATAGAGATGACAGACAATAAAACAGAATCTGAATCTAAGATAGAGATGACAGACAATAAAAAAGAAGCTAAATCTAGGATAGAGATGACAGACAATAAAACTGAATCAGAATCTATTAAAGGGATGATAGAAAATAAAACAGAATCTGAATCTAAGATAGAGATGACAGACAATAAAACAGAATCTGTATCTAGGATTGAGATGACAGACAATAAAACTGAATCCGAATCTAAGAATGAGAAGGGAAAAAATAAAATAAAAAATAAGAAATCAAATATTTTGAAATTTCTTTTTAAGAGGTTTGATAACCATTAAGAAAATAAAAGTTAATGTTTTAACAGAGAATATAGAATTACTCATGTGCAAGATCTAGTAAAAAAAAGAAAAATTAATATTTTACCTAAACTTTTTTTATACAGATATATTTTATTTTTTAAAAAAAAAAAAAAAAAGAAAAAAGAAAAAAGAAAAATTTTTTAGAAAGAAAAAATTTCATGAGAATATTTTTTAATTTTTAAGAATCAAATTTTCATTAAGTCATATTAATATAATTAAAATTTTTTTTTTATTAAGTATTTTTATTATTTTTAAAAGCACTAAACTTAAATTACTGAAAATTACTTATAAGAAGCAATAAATTTTTGTACTTAAAAATTAATAATTAATGAGAATATATGTTTTTAATAAGAATACACAATTTTTATCAAGGTAAATTCACAATGAACCGCATTATTGCACTTTATTTGTTCATATCATTAAAATTATATCTAAAATCCATTTAATTACTAGAGAAAACATCATATTCTCTTTAATAATTTGTTTTTCATTACTCTAGCAAATTCACTTAATGATAATTTAATAAATTAAAAATGTAATTTATGAAAAGTAAATAAATCAGATAGTGAATGTAGAGGATAAAATAGGAGAAAAAAAGTTGGATGCAGAATTATTACAAGCTTACCTACATGACAAAAAAAGAACACACAAAGAAAAAAAAAAATTTTATTGAGAATTATTAGAGTTAAAGATTTGTTAATAAAATGAATTATTAGCCTTTTTGAGAAATAAATTAATAGCTGTATGGAAAATAAATAGACATGAATGTACTATATAAATAAAAAAAAAGAATTGAATAGTATGAAAAAAATATTCAAGTTATTAAAAAATAGAAGAAAACTTGATAAAAAGTTTTTTCGTGGCAGATTTTTATCTTTTAATTTTAAAGAGAAAATTTTATATTAACAATAATAAAATTTTCGCGTTTGTAGCATTGTATAACTTATTTCGGGTTTTGTTATTTATATTTGCTAATTCTAGAGAAGTGAATTTGAATTGTTAAACATTAATCGTAACCTTATAAGTAAAACAAATGTGATTTAAAACTATAATTAATAAAGATTTAAATGTTTAATAAAAATAGGGATTTTTATTAAAATAATTAAATGCCCCTTAAAAGCAATAAATGCTCAATAAAGAAGACCATATACATTTCAATGGTTTATAGTATTAAAAACAAATTTAAATTCATTTAAATGGTTGAAGAAACTCTACATGCTCATTGTTAATCCTTTTATTCAATACTCTAGCAAAGTAATGAATAGGAAATTAATAAACCATTAATTACATTTATTTAACTTATATTGTGATTTATATTCAACAATTCAAATTTATTGCGCTCAAATTAACTAGCATAAATAATTGATAAAATTCAAATTAAATTATGTGAGTACTATAAAAAACAAAAATTTTACTATAGTTAATATAAAATTTTTTTATTAAAATTTATACATAAATACACCACAATAAGCTTTTTTAGTCAATAGCTTTTTTTTCTATTTTTCGATTACTAAATTCCTTTTAAAAAAAGTAAAAATTTATTTTTTTGTGTATTTAAATTACAAAAATAAAAAAAACATTAACTAATTTTTTTCTTTTTTTTTTACTTAACTATTGCATGCTGATTAATAAAATGTATTATTATCCTTTCAAAAATAAACGATAATAGTTGTATGGAAAATATATAGTTATACATGTAAATTCCAGATGCAACTAAAAAAATAAAAAGAAAAAAAATTAATTGTTAATTTCTTTGTTTTCTTTTTCTAATTTTTAAATACAAAAAAAAAATATATGTCCTTTTTTTTTGAAAAGATTAATTTTTAAGTTGAAATATTAATTTATTTATTTCTTATTAAATAACTTTGCTGGAGTACTGATTTATTAAATGGGTGTTCGGTGACATTACTCTAGTACTGAACAAACAAATTAATAAAGAGTATGTAGAGGTGTCTCTATGATTTTAGTGTATTTATATTTAATTTTATATGCTTTGAACGAGTGATTCTTAATTATGTGCTCTACGTCGTTCAGCATTCTTTGATTTCAATAGGCATTTATTTACTTTAATAAAAATTCTTATTTTCATTGAAAATTTAAATCTATATTGAACATTCATTATTAATTAATGGTAAATTACTTGTTTCTTTGTTATGAGTTTCATTCAACAATTAATATATATTGCTGTTGAATTAACAAACATAGACAATTCTTGACAATATAAAGAAAATTATATAAATATTTATTATATGAAAAGTTTATTGTTATATGTATAAAATTTTCTTTTGCAAAATTCATGACAAAATATATTTCATTCCTTAAAAAAAAAATTCATTTTTTTTTTTTTTATTTATTGGTAACAAATCTTTTTCCAGTTGATTTTTTTTTTATATATTTTTTTTTTTCCTGTCGGTCTTTGTATTTCTTTTTAAAAAAAAAAAAAAAAAAAAAATTAATCATGAATTTTTTTTTGTGTGTGTGCATGACCAACTTCGTATTCATCATTAAACTAGTCCTTTTATTTTCCATAAAGCTTAATAAAAGCCTTTTATTAACCACAAAGTCACCGAACACCCAGTTAATTAATCAATTGCTTAATACATTGCTCTATATACGATACTGTTGAACTTTTTTGTATAATTTATGACGAATAAATTGAATAAGAACATTTTATTTATTGCATGTTAATTCGCAAGGACAATATGATATAATAAATGTCTTCTCTAAAATAGTTATTCAAAAAGTATGTAAACAAAAAAAATATGTATATACATACTTGCACATAAAGTAAGCGCACTTAAAAAAAAATAAATAAATAATAATATTTTTTCTGTGTTGGTATTTACAATTAAAAAAAAATATATATTATGATTATATTTTTTTTATTACAAAAAAAAAATATAATTTTAAAAAAAAAAAAAATTAATTTTTCTTAATTTTATTTTGGAGAATAATGTGCAGACTACTATAGAATGTATATTTTTATTTTAAGATAAAATGTAATATTAAGGAAATTACATTTTAAAGTGTTTCTTTAACAAGAAAAAAATAATTAACTGATAAGTTATATTTAATGTTTATTAATAAAAATAAAAATTTTATATTAAAATTAAGTAAAGTTTACACTACGTTTTCCTTAATAATTTATTTGTTTGACACTAGAAAAGTAATTTAATAGCCATTAATAAATCAGAGCTATAAATAATTTCTTTTCCTTAGGAATATTATCCTATTTATAATAATTATAATAATATTAACACTTCATGTACTTTTATTTGTACAATTCAAGTTTCTATATCTCCAATTGGTTAATAAAAGGCTTCATTAACCTTTTTGGAAAATAAAAGGACCAGTCAAATGAAGTATACGAAGTTAGTCATGCATACACATACACAAAAACAAAAAAAAATTGATGATTTTTTTTGTTTATACTTTTTAAAAAAAAAGTACAAAGACTGTCAGGAAAAAAAAATTTGATAAAAAAAATGTAAAAATAGTCAGGAAAAAAATTGATAAAAATAAAATAAATTGAAAAAAGATTTGTTAGGAATAAATAAAAATAAAAAAAAAAAAAGAATTCTTTTTTTAGGGAATGAAATATTTTTATGATGAATTTTGTAAAAGAAAATTTTATACAGATAACAATAAAATTTTCATGTAATTAATATTTATATAATTTATTTTGTTTTTGTTAATAATTATTTATGTTTGTTAATTCAACAGCAATATAAAATAATTGCTAAATATAACTCATAATAAATAAACTAGTAATTATAATTAATTAATAATTAATGTTAAATAAGTATTTAAATTTTTAATAAAAATTAGGATTTTTATGAAAGTAAATAAATGCCTATTGAAATAAAAGAATGCTGAACGAATGGTTAATAAAAAGCTTCATTAACCTTTTTGGCTATAAAAGGACTAGCTATGTGGAGAATACATAGTTAGTTGTGCTAACTAAAAAAAAAAAAAAAAAAAAAAAAAAAAAAAAAAAAATTATTGGATTTTTTTTTTGAGAAATGTTTCTTTCGAAAAAGATAAAGATAAAAAAAAAAAAATAAAAAAAAAAAAGATTTAAATTTTTTTTTTTTTAAGAGAGAGAAAAAGATCAGAGAGAGAGATTTTTTTTTTTAAGAAGATAACAATATTTTTGTAAAGTGTTTAATTTGCATAATATTCATATTTTGAATTGATAAGAGAAAATTTTATACATATGAAGATAAAATTTTCATGTAATTAATATGCATATAATTTATTTGCATTTTTAATAAGTATTTGTGTTTTGTTAATTCGATAGCAATATAAAATGATTGCTGATTGTAACTCGTAATGAATAAACTAATAATTATAATCAATTAATAGTTAATGTTAAATAAGTGTTTAAATTTTTAATAAAATAAGGATTTATTTATTAAAGTAAATAAATACTTATTGAAGCAAAAGAATGCTGAACGAAGTAGTTTATGATTAAAGATCATTCGTTCAAAGCATATAAGAATATACATAAGTATAAGAAAATCGTAGAGTCATCTCTACATGCTCTTTATTAATTGTTTTGTTCAGTACTCTAGCAAAGTCTCCGAACACCCAGTTAATAAATCAACGAAGTAGATTACAATTAAAGATTACTCGTTCAAAGCATATAAAAATATATATAAATATACAAAAATCGTAGAGGAATCTCTACATGCTCTTTATTAATTGGATTGTTCAGTACTATAGTAAAGTCCCCGAACACCCAGTTAATAAAACACCAATACATACATTATTCAAATCATTTTAATATAATGTAATATCGATATTAAATATAAGACACTTTAATATTTTACATATTTTTACTAGTAGGGACAACTCTACATATAATATTAAAAAAATATAAATCATGAAAAATGCACTTTTATTAAATTTATGAGTATTTTTTAGAGAAAAATTAGTGTTAAAATATTAAAAATTATAGTATTTATACACACCATTTTTATTAATAATACGTCAAAGATTCTAACAAATTAAATTTAAAAAACATAAATTCTTATTAAAATTCTCCACTAATATTTACAAAGATGCCTTATGAAATTTAACCTTTTAAGAAAAAAGTTATATTAGGATGGGACAGCTGTTGAATTCATTTATGCTCTTTAATAAAAGGCTTCATTATCCTTTTTGGTAATAAAAAGGACTAGCTATACGAAGAATACGTAGTTGATCACGCAAACGAAAAAAAAAAAAAAATTAAAGAATTTTTTTTTATTATTTTTTTAATAAATGGAGATACGTAAAAAAAGAATATATTCATTTTTTTTAAAAAGATTTAATGAAGGAGAGAAAATTGCTAAAATAAAAATCTGGAATAAGATTTAGTACCAATAAAAATGATATCTTAAATAGATAAAAGATATTTAGATACAAAAGAGTTTAATTTGCATAATATTTATATTTTTAATTTGTGAGACAAAATTTTATACATATAACCATAAAACTTTTACGTAATTAATATTCATATAATTAATTTGCATTTTTACTAATTGTTAATGTTTGTTAATTCAACAGCAATATATTTAAATTGCTGAACATAACTCATAACAATGAAATAAATAATTTACATTTAATTAATAATCAAGATTCAATAAGGATTTAAATTTTTAATAAAAATAAAGATATTCATTAAAGTAAATAAATGCCTATTGAAAACAAAAATGCTGAATGAAGTAGATAACATAAATAAGGATCACTCGTTCAACGCATATAAAAATATATATAAATACAACAAAATCGTAGAGGCAACTCTATATTCTCTTTACTATTTTGTTTGTTCAGTACTATAGCAAAGTCACCGAACACCCAGTTAATAAATCAATACTATACAAATGAGTTACCTAAATTTCATAAATAAAATGAAAAATAAAAAATTGTGCTATATATATATAAAACTAGAAATAAAAAAGAAAATAAATACATCGTAATAATAATCAACACTTATCAAATAAATATATAAAGGCAAAAAAAAAAAAAAAAAAATAATTTTTTTTTGTATTTAATTAGAAGATTATAATAATATATATGTAAAACGTTATTTCATAATTCTGTTTTATCTTTATTTATCAATAATTTTTATATCACAATAAAAATGCATTCTTCTGAATTTTATAAGAAAAAACCTATTATGTTTAACTAAATATATATTTTCATATTCAGTAAATAACATTAATATTAAATTTGAAACTGATAAGTATTACTCGTAAAAAAGTAAATTTATAAAAATGTATTTTTAGAATAAATTAAGTAAATTTGTCAAAAATAATACTCTTTAAAAAATATTTTTTACTGTAAATATATGATTACAAAAATAGTATTTTTTTTTTTTTTTTTTTTTAAATTATAATTAATTTATTTGATTTTTAAATGAGCTTTTAATAAGATTTGTTATTATAATTTCTTAAAAATAAATACCTATCTTCACTTTTTCTTTTGAATTTAAGTACTTAATAAATTTTTTTTATTTTTTTTCAAATAATTGAAAAAGTAATTTTTTTTAAAAAATAGTTATAATAAAAAATATATATATACATATATTGCATAAATATTTATCTATAATAAAAATAAAAAAAAAAGAATTAAGATAAAAAAAAGTATATTAGAAAAATAAAAAATGTTATATTTAAAAGAAAAATATTCATAAACAAAAATTAGTTTTATATTAAGTGAAAAATTGTGACAACTGTAGTATACTGCATGATAAATACATGCGTTTAAAATTTTTAATTTATAGAGTTTTTTTTTCTTTTTTTGATGGAGATATATCTATATAATATATGAAGATTTATTTTTTGTAAATCATAATATACTGTATATAAAATAATTTAAAGTTCGACATAATTCACAAAAATTGGTAGTTTAGAAAAAAAGAATAAAAAAATCCTTTAACATTAAATGTATATCATTTATAATTTTTATGTGAATTAAATTAAAAATATTTAATTTTTTTACATAATTTAAAGATAAATAAAATTTTAATAAAATATATTTAAAATAACTTTATCCGATTTATTATATTTTTTATTTATTTGTTAATTAATATTATTATTTTATTTTTTAAAGAATTAATAATATTATTCCTATCAAAAGTAATAATAATATCATATGTAATAATAAAAAATTAGAAATTACAGTTCATATATGAAAATAATATTATATTTTAAAAATATAAGAAATTAATGTAAGTTATAATAATATCTAAGTTAATATTACAAATCCATAATTTAGTATTCTTCATAATTGAAACAATTTTACAACTGAATTAACAACTTCCACTTCAATATTATTATATAAATATATTAATATGAGAACGTTAACTTTATATTTAAAAATTACTACATTCCTTCTTTTAATATGGATGTATCAATGTTTTTATAACGTAAGTTAAAATTTTTACAAAAAATATACATATAGATATATTTTATTTCTAATTATTCTTGACATTCCATTTGATTTACTATTCTAACAAAAGAAACATGCTTTTAAAAAATTTTTATTTAATCCATAGTGTTATTCCTATAAAACATGGATTGATAAAAATATATTGGAAACAAAAAATGAGTTAAAGTATGAAAGATTATTAACAGAGGGTGACATAGAAGGAGAGAAGCATAATTACGCTGAAGGATGTCTAAAAGAATGTCCATTAGATAATGAAAAAAAAGGAAGTATGGATCCGGATAAATACAAGAATCCGTGCGATCCACGTCATAGAATCAATACTCCATCATTGTTCGAGAGATTTAATAAAAAAGCAAGTGAAATGGACCCTAATTTGAGAGACCACGAATTGAATATTGAATGGAATAATATTTCACAAAACAAACTTATTCATCTATCTTCAAAAATTTATCAACGAGATATTCCAGATGAAGGCAAAGATATATTAATTCTTAGTGAAACGAAAGATCACTCAGAATTAAAGAAATTATTAGACGAATTTAAGAATGAGATAAGAGACAATAAAGCAGAATCCGAATCTAAGAAAGAGGTGAGAGACAATAGAATAGAATCCGAATCTGAGAAAGAGATGAGAACCAATAAAACAGAATCCGAATCTGAGAAAGAGTTGAGAGATAATAGAACAGAATTGGAATCTAAGAAAGAGATGATTGACATTAAAAAAGAATTCGAATGGATCAAAGAGATGATAGACAATAAAACGGAATGCGAATCTGAATCTGAATCTGAATGTGAAAATGAGAATGAGATGAGAGAAAATAAAAAAAAAAAAAAGAAATCAAATATTTTGAAATTTCTTTTTTGTGGGTGTTATAACCATTAAGAGAAAAAAATTAATGTTTTAACAGATAACATAGGAATATTCATGCACAGGATCTTGTTAAAAAAAAAGAAAAATTAATATATTTTATAAATTTTTTTTATAGAGATGTATTTTATTTTTTAAAAATAAAAGAAATTAAAAGAGAAAAATTTTTTAGAAAAAGAAATTTCATGAGAATATTTTTTAATTTGTAAGACTAATTTTTTCATTAAGTAATATTAATATAATTAAAATTTTTTTTTTGTTATTTATGTATTTTTATTATTTTTCAAAGCAGTGAGCTTAAATTACTGAAGATTACTTATAAAAAGCAATAAATATTTTGTACTTAAAAATTAATAATTAATTAGAATATATGTTTATAATAAAAATACATAATTTTTATCGATGCAAATTCACAATAAACTGCATTATTGCAGTTTACTTGTTTATATAATTAAATTATATTTAAAATCCATTTAATTAATACAGAAAACTCCATATTATCTTTAATAATTTCATTTTCGTTACTCCAGCAAATTCATTGAATGATAATTTAATAAATTAAAAATGTAAATTATGGAAAGTAAATAAATCAGGCAGTAAATGTAGAGGATAAAATAGAAGAAAAAATGTTGGGTGCAGAATTATTACCATCTTACCTACATGACAAAAAAAGGACACATAAAGGAATAAAAAAAAAGTCTTTATAGCGAATTATTAGAGTTGAAGATTTGTTAATAAAAGGAATTATTAGTCTTTTTCAGAAAAAAATTAATAGCTGTATGGAGAATAAATAGACATGAAAGTACTATATAAATGAAAAAAAAATGAATTGAATAGTATGAAAAAAATATTCATGTTATTTAAAAATAGAAGAAAACTTGATGAAAAGTTTTTTCGTGGAAAATTTTTATCTTGAATTTTAAAGAGAAAATTTTATATTAACAATAATAAAATTTTCGTGTTTGTAGTATTGTATAACTTATTATGTGTTTTGTTATATATATATTCTAATTCGCGAGAAGTGAATTTTAATTGTTAAAAATTAGTCATAACATTATAAGTAATATATATGTGATTTAAAACTATAATTAATAAAGATTAAAATTTCTAATAAAAATAGGGATTCTTATTAAAATAAATAAATGCCTCTTAAAAACAATAAATGCTCAATGAAGGAGACCATATACATTTCAATGGTTTATAGTATTAAAAACAAATTTAAATTCATTTAAATGGTAGAAGAAACTCTACATGCTCATTGTTAATCCTTTTATTCAATACTCTAGCAAAGTAATGAATAGGAAATTAATAAACCATTAATTACATTTATTTAACTTATATTATAATTTATATTCAACAATTCAAATTTATTGCGCTCAAATTAACTAGTATAAATAATTGATACAATTCAAATTAAATCACGCAAGTACTGCAAAACGCAAAAATTATATTATTTTTAATATAAAATTTTCTTATTAAAATTAAATAAATGTACACTACAATAAGCTTTTTTAGTCAATAACTTTTTCATCTATTTTTAGACCACTAAATTCCTTTTAAAAAAAGTAAGAATTTATTTTTTTGAGTATTTAAATTACAAAAGTAAAAAAAACATTAATGAATTTTTTTCTTTTTTTTTTACTTAACATTTGCATGTTGGTTAATAAACTGCATTATTAACCTTTTTGAAAATAAAGAATAATAGTTGTATGGAAAATATATAGTTATACATGTAAATTCTAGATACAAATAAAAAAATAAAAAGAAAAAAAAATTTAATTGTTAATTTCTTTGTTTTCCTTTTCTAATTTTTAAATACAAAAAAAAAATATTTTTACTTTTTTTTTTGAATGATTAATTTTTCAGTTGAAATATTAACTTATTTATTTCTTATTCAATAACTTTCCTAGAATATTGTTTTATTAATTGGGTGTTCGGTGACTTTGCTAAAGTGCTGAACAAACAAATTAATAAAGAGCATGTAGAGTTGCCTCTACGATTTTGATGTATTTATATATATTTTTATATACTTTGAACGAGTAGTTCTTAATTATGTGATTAGTTAATAAAAGGATTTATTAACCTTTTTGGAAAATAAATGGACTATTTAAATGAAGAATACGAAGTTGGTCATGCATACACAATAAAAAAAAAATGATTATCAATTTTTTCTTGTTTGCACTTTTTTTAAAAGAAAAAGTACAAAGACCGTTAGGAAAAAAAAATTGATAAAAAAAGAAAATGCTAATACTGTCAGGAAAAAAATTGATAAAAAAAAAATAAGTTGGAAAAAGATTTGTCACGAATAAAAAAATAAATAAAAAAAAAAAAAAAAAAGAAAAAGGAATTTTTTTTTTAGCGAATGAAATACTTTTTGTGATGAATTTTGTAAAAGAAAATTTAATACATATAACAATAAAATTTTCATGTAAAAAAATATTTATATTATTTTTTTTTGTATTGTCTATAATTGTTTATCTTTGTGGTTAATAAAAGGCTTCATTAAACTTTTTGGAAATAAAAAGAACTAACTGTATGAAAAATACTTATTGGTTGTGCACACGCGAAAAAAAAAAAAAAAAAAAAAAAAAAAAAAAAAAATTATTGAATATTTTTTTTTATTTTTTTTTCTTTTAATAAATGGAGATACTTAAAAAAAAAATATATTTATTTTTTATAAATGATTTAATTCAGAAGAAAAAGACTGGTAAAATAAAAATTGAGAGTAAGATTCAGTACCAACAAAAATGAGATCCTAAACAGATAATAAAGTTAACATATGAGGGTTTAATTTGCATAATATTTATATTTTTATTTTATGAGAGAAAATTTTATAAATAAGACAATAAAATTTTCACTTAATTAATATTCATATAATTTATTTGCATTTTTACTAATTGTTTATGTTGGTTAATTCAACAGCAATATATTTAAATTGATGAACATAACTCATAAAAAGAAATAAATAAAATACAAATAAATAATAATAATTAATATTCAATATTCAATAATGATTTAAATTTTTAATAAAAATAAGGATTTTTATTAAAGTAAATAAATGCCTATTGAAATCAAAGAAAGCTGAACGAAGTAAAGCATATAATTAAGAATCACTCGTTTAAAGGTTATAAAAATATATATAAATACACGAAAGTCGTAGAGGCAACTCTACATGCTCTTTATTAATTTGTTTGTTTAGTACTCTAGAAAAATCACTGAACAACCAGTTAATAAAAAAAATAAACAATACTATTGACCTTTTTTGTAAAATATTTAAACGAACAAATAGAATAAAAACATTTTTCTTTGTGTATGCTATTTCGCAAGGACAATTTGCTATCTTAAATGTTTGCTCTAAAATAGTTATTCAAAAAGTATGTAAACATAAAATATATGTATATATATACATGCACTTAAAGTGAGCGTACTTAAAAAAAATTATATAAATAATAATATTTTTTTTGTGTGTGTATTTACAATTAAAAAAAAATAAAATCTTAAAAAAAAAAAATTAGTTTTTCTTTTTTTTTTTTGGAGGATAATGTGCAAACTACTTTGGAAAGTATATTTTTATTTTAATCTAAAATGTAATATTAAGGAAATTACACTTTAGAGCTTGCTTATATTAAAAAAAAAATAATTAACTATATGTTATATTTAATAATCATTAATAAAAATAAAAATTTTATATCAAAATTAAATACAGTTTACACTATATATTCCTTATTAATTCATTTGTTTGACACGAGAAAAGTAATTTAACAACCATTAATAAATCAGAGATATAAATAATTTCTTTTCCTTAGAATATTATCCTATTTATAATAATTATAATAATTTTAATACTTCGTGAAATGTTATTTGGATAATTTACGTTTCTATATCTCCAAAATACACACTATTCAAATTATTTTAATATCATGCAATATCTATGTGAAATGTAAGACACTTTTATATTTTACATATTTTTAGTAGTAAGAACAACTTCTACATATAATATTAAAAAATTATAAATCATAAAAAATGCACTTTTATTAAATTTATGATTATTTTTATGAGAAAATTTAGTGTTAAAATATTAAAAATGATAGTATTTATACACACCACTTTTTATTAATAATACCTTAAGGATTCTAATAGATCAAATTAAAAAAACAAAAATTCCTATTAAAATTCTCATTAATATTCACAGAGATGTCTTATGAAATTTAACCTTTTAAGAAAAAGGTTATATTAGAAAGGAACAATTGATGAATTTATTTATACTATATAAATGAGTTACCCAAATTGTTTGGTAAGAAAATGAAAAATAATAAATTGTGGTATAAATATATAGAAATAAAAATAAAAATAAAATAAACACATCGTAATAGTAATCAGCACTTATCAAATAAATATATAAAGGCAAAAAAAAAAAAAAAAATAATTTTTTTTTATATTTAATTAGAAGATTATAATAATATATATACAAAATGTTATTTTATAATTCTGTTTTATCATTATTTATTGATATTTTTTATATCACAATAAAAATGCATTTTTTTGAATTTTATAAGAAAAAATCTATTATATTAAACTAAAGATATATTTTTACATTAAGTAAATAACATTTATATTAATTTTAAAACTAATAAATATTACTCGTAAAAAAGTAAATTTATAAAAATGTATTTTTAGAATAAATTAAGTAACTTTGTCAAAAAAAATAATTTTTTTTAAAAAATATTTTTTACTTTAAATATATGATTAAGAAAATAGTTTTTTTTTTTTTTTTAAATTAGACCAGGTTTTCCTCCTTTTTTTTTGGTGGGGTTGAAAGCAAAAAGAATTTATTTATTAAATGACTTCTCATTTTTAATGAAGAAAAATGGGGGTCAAAAATATTTTTAAGCACATGAATTATGGTCCAGATTTCACTGACAGGATCATCAGGTGGACCCTCGATCTTGATAGACAGATAAATATCTTGTCATAAACTTTTTAGATGGCTGAATAAGAAGTCCTTCTCTGTGTGT